ATTTTGTTTGTAGAGCATTTAGCATCGCGTCCGCCATTTTAACGAATCGATTCATTAATAATAATGAAATTTCGTAAATATCGAACTTTTTAAAAGGAAAATTTCGGAATTCTTTTAAATAACAAAACGCAAAAAACCCCAAAAAACGAATCGATTTTAGAAACAAATTTTTCCGTTGTTACCCAGGCCTACTAAATAGGTATCTGTGGTGGCAAAATAGTCCAAAATCAAAAGTTGCAATGCTGTTTCGCAGATGAAATTTTGGATGTGAGTACCTCAGAACAGTTATCTCTTTCGGTAAGGTATGTTGTTGTTAAAGTTGCAGGATTAAGAGAAGCCTTTAAAGACTTTAAAGGCTTTGAGAAGATCAGTGATATGACGGGTGGAGGACTTGAAGGCATTATTTTGAAAACACTGGAAAAAATGGGCTGAACCTGCAATATTTGTGTGGACAGGGTTATGATGGAGCTGCTAATATCAGTGGTCATATTAGTGGTGCAGAGGCAATTATACCACATAAGTATTTGATGGCTGACCACATCTACTGCCATGCTCACTCACTAAATCTAACCTTAGCAAAGACTTGCAGAATTCTACCCATCAGAAACTACCAAGGAACAATATCATCTGTGTGCAATTTCTTCATAGCATCATCCATCAGGCTGGAACTACTGAAGAAAAATATTAAAGGCCTATAAAATTTTTTTTTTTCCTGAGTCAAGAGCAAACAGCCTGTTACTGCTTTGTGAAACCCGTTGGGTTGAGTGACATGATGTTTTGTTGTACGGAGTGGTGGTGAGAACACTTGAAGAACTAAAAGAGAGTCCTCTATATTACAGTGAAACTTCTTCCCAAGATTGATACTTTCTTTAGCTGTTCTGAATTTATATAAACAACACACATCCTAAGAAAGCATTCGTCTTCATCCTTTCAGGTTGCCAGAACATTACAAACAGTAGATATGTGCATTTTCTATAGTCTAAGAGACTAGTCTGTTGACAGTCTCTTGGAAAAAGCTGGGGAGATGGGCACAGAATATGTGAAAGAATTTCAGGAGATCTTTAACACAGCAAGATCAATGGTTAAATCTATGGCTGGAGAAGTTAGGATTCCTCGCATCTGTTCAAGGCAGACTTGTCAAAGCATGAAAGGTCATTTTCAACTCTGAAACACTTGAAAACACATATAAGAAGCACAATGGAGCAAGAAAGACTCACTGGACTTGCACTCTTGAGTGTCCACTGAAGTCTATCGATAGAGTCTGATTTCTGCCTAAGTGTATTGACACAGTTTTCAAGTATTTCCAACAGACAATTTCCAACATTGTCTGTTGGAAATACTTGAAAACTGTGATAATACACTTGGGCAGAAATTAAGAGTCATTTTCTAATTACCAATTAAGAGCCATTTTCAGGTTTTTTAAAGACTTGAAACTTTGTAACTGAAATACAAATTTGATTTAATTAAGTCTTAATAAAATATAGCATGAATAGTATAATTTCAATTATTTTGGGTAATGGACCTACTCTTCATGATTCACTAAAAATGTTTCAACTCCCCCTCCCCAATTTTATGTCTGGCTATGGGCCTGACTACAGTTCCCATTGCATGTTAATTAGTGGACATAGTGTGTATTTGGTTCTATTCTTGTCATCAGAAAGACCTTCTGTGGACTGATTGTTCATTCATTTTCTTTACTGCACAGAAAATCCTTTCGATCCAACCTTCTTCCTTAGCCGTGCATTCTCCAACATCATTTGCTCTATTATTTTTGGGAAGCGTTTTGACTATGAGGACAAAGAATTCCAGGCACTCATGGTGATGACAAACAAATTTGTATGGGAGATGAGCACCTTGTGGGCCCAGGTACTCCTTTTGCAGTAATGCTCAGGTTAAATGATTACAAAACCATTTGTCTTCATCATTTCCCTGAGGTTTTCCTGTTCCTTTCTCACATACCTAGATGTTCATCTCAGGTATTCAGCCACAAATCCTTATGGCCTTGTGATTCAATCACCTATCCAGGTGCTCTTCTTCTTCTTTCGCTTTCTATGAAGATAATCTTTCTGTCTTTCCACGTGTATGTTCTCTCTCTTTATTGTATTTTCTCCTCCTCACCCACAATATTTTTTTCTCACTGCTCCGTTTCCTGTTTTCACCTAAGCACTCATTCACCTTTTTTGTTGCTCATTCTTGTCCCGTTCATTTTGCCAAAGGCTCCCTTTGTGACGATCTTGTAATTCTTGGTGCAGAAAGCCAAGTCAACTAGTTTTCACTACCATAATTTTGACCTTCTGGGATAACAAAGGAGTAGGTCTCAATTCCAGCTTCCATTTTATTGACTGATGGTGATACTGTAGCCAACAGATTCAAAATAAGTTTAATTTAAAATATAATGATTCTCTTAAAAAATCCTCACGCCACAAATCCTCATGCTCTTGTGATCCCATTGCCTATCCAGGTGCTCTTCCTCTTCTCTTGCTTTCCACGATAATATTTCTCTCTTTCTATATGAGTGTTCTCTCTTTTTCCCCTACTTTATCCTCCTACACATCACCCACAATATTTTTCTTTCTCACTGCTCTCACTCCACTGTATGTGGCATGTGGGTGGTGTATGTGTGCATGTGGCAGCTTTCTGATTTGCTGCCACTTTTACAGGCCACTGCATGCCCCACAAATGATGGACCAAACTTGGCATACATAACCCCCACTACAAACAGTAGATATGTGCATTTTCTACAGCCTGCAACATGTTAACAGTCTGTTAGAAAAAGCTGGGGCAATGGGCACAGAATATGTGAAAGAATTTCAGCAGATCTTTAACACAGCTAGTTGTGAATGTTTCAATTAGCCACCTTGATTAGCATTTGATGATCTGATAGTTTTTAGGTGTGCCCCGTTACTGCCTGGGGGAATTCTTTGTTGAGAGGCGATGAACTGTTCCTGATTGTTTCTTCTCTGGAGTTCCCCTGTGTTTGCGTTTTGTTCTTTATTTAATGTTATAACAAGAGTTTTTTAGTACTGGGAGCCAGATTTTGTTCATTTTCATGGTTTCTTCCTTCCTGTTGAAACTGTTCACATGCTTGTGCATTTTGATGGCTTCTCTGTGTAGCCTGACATGGTAGTTGTTAGAGTGGTCCAGCATTTTTGTGTTCTGAAATAACATGAAACATTCACACCTAGCTCCAACACACAAGAGTTCTTTCTCCCACCCCAGACTTTCCACAGATACATAAACCCCATTTTCCTACAGACCTCACAACCTCTTAGGATTTTTTTTGTCATGTCAGGAGCGATGTGAAAAACTGCAAGTTGCTTCTGGTGTGAGAGAATTGGCCGTCTGCAATGACGTTGCCCAGGGGACGCCTGGATGATTTGATGTTTTTATCATCCTTGTGGGAGGCTTCTCTCATGTCCCCGTATGAGGAGCTGGAGCTGATAGAGGGAGCTCATCCGCCTCTCCCCAGATTCGAACATGCGACCTGTTGGTCTTCAGTTCTGCCGGCACAGGGGTTTAACCCACTGCGCCACCGGGGGCTCCTCTGAGGATGCCTGCCATAGATGCAGATAAAAAACCTACAACAACCCAGTGATTCTGGCCACGACAGCCTTAGACAATACATTGAATAGAGCATATTTGTTTCATCCTATTAAGAACAAAATTGAGGTCTTGGATGTTCCCTTTGCTACTAGCACAGAAACCCTGTTGATGCTTAGATGTAATATAGCAACTATCCATTCAGCATGGTTTCTCTCCTTGTGTAGTTCTATAACATCTATGGCAACTACCTGAATTACATTCCGGGAATCTCCAATAAGATCTATGATGCCATGGACATGAAGCTCTTCATTGCCAAGAGAATCAAGAAGAACCAAGAGACCTTGGACCCTAATTTACTACGTGACTATATTGATTGCTTTCTCATCCAGATGGAAAAGGTACCTTGTCAGTGCACGAAGGTAGCAGGGCTCTGCATTAACTGTTAATAATCTTTCTCACTTAGGGAAATGTGATAAGAAACATTTAATCTATCCTACTTGCTTCCAGAGTTGGAATTTTCTCATTATGTCTTGTTCTTTCCTGCTTTCAGGAAAAAGACAATCCAGGAAGTGAATTTATTATGCAGAATTTAGAGGCCAATATTCTTAATCTGTTCCTTGGAGGAACAGAGACGGGCGCTTCCACCTTGAGATATGGCTTTCTGCTTCTGATGAAATATTCTGAAGTCCAAGGTATTTCTGCTGCTGCTGCTGTTGTTATTATTGCTGCTGCTGCTAATATCATTAACAGTTAGGCCAGAGAGGCATGTCGAATTTTACAGATTTGATTAATATGTTCTAGCTAGGAATCTTTAACATTTCCAAGGAGATACCATGGTCAATATCTGGTCAAATTCAATGGTCAAATTTCACCCTAATTTCCACTTCCCCATAATCATTTGAGAAAGGTCAGCCCCTGTATCTTCTGCATCTATAGATTGAGTCAATAATGACTTGAAAATATTTAGGAAAAAGCACACCTTGATTTGGCTGTAAACCAAGTCTTACATGGATGTAAACCTGGTTATATCCTACCACCATTTCGCTGATCCTCAGGTTCTCTGCAGCATTTGTTTGCATTGCTTGGATTTTTATATAAAAATCCAAACAAAGCTTATAAAAACTTTGGCAAATACTGAGAGCCCATTGGACTTAATAGTATTTGAAAACTACAGAGACCTGCCAATAGTTGGTGATTTCAGAAATAACCGGAAAGGAGAGAAATGATTGAAGAGGTGCAAGGTATGAGGAAAACTAGTACATGGTGCTCTCTCTACAAGAGGAAGCCACAACCAGGCCATGCAGGTTATTGCTTGGGATGAGATGTCAGTCTTCCTGCAATGAATAGTAAGGGATTTCATGTTCCCCTTTAGTCTAATTGGAAATAGAAGTTCAGTTACTTTTGAAAGTCAGAAACCCAAGGAGTTAATTATCCTTATACCTTTAACAGCAAAAAGTGCATGAGGAAATTGATCGAGTGATTGGCCGTAATCGTATCCCAAACACTGGAGATCGGCGACAAATGCCATATACAGATGCCGTGATCCATGAAGTGCAAAGATACAGTGATGTCATTCCTATGAATGTGGCCCACATGGTCACTTGTGACACTGAATTCAGAGGATATCATATCCCTAAGGTACAGTAGTGGGGCCACAAGGGTACGAGTAATTGAAGGGCTCCATGGGACATTCCACTCTGATCCAATCCCACCTATAGGAATATCTCCTCATTTCAACTACTATACTGCAGATGAGTCATGATGGTATAAGTCCAGTCTCTGAACCCATCATACAATATATAAAATATTGGAAAGATAGATATTCTGTTATAATGGTGCAATGATAACCTACCTCTTTAGTGTTCCAGTGCCCCTAACACTTATTTCTATAATGGGGAGGGAGAAGAAGGCTCACAATTTCATCCCTCCCTCCCCCTCGTGAAATCTGGAGAGGGTTTTTGTTTTCGTTCTGGTAAGTTTTGGTCCATCATTTTTACGCTTATCATCATAAAACTTGCCTTACTTTTAGGCCACATTTATGACTGCAAGCCTGCCAGGTTTCAGAACATTTCACAAATCCACTGATTTTTGGATTTTTTTAAAAAAAAATCATAATATTTTAAAAAAACACATAAGACAGTGTTTTAGGAATTGAAGTCCCAAGTCACAAAAGGGCAGGAGAATGGACACAGTGAACTAGCTTCTCAAACACAGAGAGACTGAAATCTCGGCTGCCATGATGCCCCAGGAAGGAGCACAGAGGCTCCTTCAATGCCCACACCACACAAAGGGCTGCTGGGAAAGCAAATCCCCATTTGCCTCAAGCAGGCACTGGGGGCGGGGGGGGGGGACTTTGGGAAGGGATGGAGTGGGCTGCTGGAGGAGAAAGGAGAGGAGGAGCCACCACTTGCTTGATTTCCAAGGCTGCCCACACACCGCCTCTGCTTCAGGTAGAGTGCTGCTAATCCCCATTAGCCCCCCAGTATCCAAAAAGAAATGGCTGCTGTGATCTGGATCAGCTAACGCTTCGGCTGCCCCCCCCCCCCCCAGGCTTGTTTTTGCGGGATCAGCACCCAAATTTCCCAAATACAGTACACCAAAATGATATCGTGCACTTGAAAAGCAATAACAAATCTCTAGAGGTTACAGTCACAAGTTCTAAGAAGAAACGCTTTGGTAATTTTTAGAAGAAAGATCAACAGATCCCATATTGGGTGCATCTACACAGCAGAATTAATGCAGTTTGACATCAGTCAATGCAATGGAATTATGAGAGTTGTACTTTTACAATTGGTGTCGAACTCCATTCTGAGCTCCGAACTCTTTCCTTTCCCAGGGGATGATGGTCTTGCCATTGCTGAGCACTGTCTTGCATGACCCTACTATGTTTAAATACCCCAATGCTTTCAACCCAGAGAACTTCTTGGATGAGTATGGATGCTTCAAGATGAATGATGCCTTTGTGCCTTTTTCCTCAGGTAGAGCTCTACTAAAAACTCCAATATTCAGTTTTGTTAGTTAATTTACTTGATATCCCATGCTTGCTTTTGGGCTTGCTACTGTGGTCTCTTATTTTCCCACAGCAAACATGCACAAAAATATAGGGGTTAAGAGCTTTGTCTTGTACTCTCTGGATTACATTTCACTAGCGTATGGAAATGAGGAGGATTAGATAAGGAGAAAATACTGGTTGAGAACTATTTTGTATTTGGACTCTCCTAGTCCACACAAGTCCAATTACCATTGTTTGACTAAACAACCAACCACACTGTTTTGTGAACCCTAGTTGGCTGTTGTAAATTAATGTAGAAATTTGTTTAGATTTTATGTTATTATATTTTTTTTACTACATGTAGTTTAATTTAATGATGTTGGGTTTAATTTATTGGTGTTAGGTTTTAATTTGATGTTAGTTCTTAATGTTGTTTTCATATGTGGGGTTTCTCTGAAAACATTCAACGGCATTGAATGTTTGCCATTGTTATGTTGGAATCCGACCTGAGTCTCCTCGAGGAGATAGGGTGGAATACAAATAATAATAATAATAATAATAATAATAATAATAATAATAATATTTCATAATTGTATAACCTTTGTTACCCATTCAATCCTCTTCCACGGGCAAGTATTATTCATGCACTGCACAGTTTGGGGAGAATTTCTTGCAGTGGGAAGAAAATTGCTAAAATTTCCCATTGCTCCCTTCAAACCCAAAGGAGCGAAGAATTGCATCTCTAGGGATCAAAATCTGCATCATCAAGATTGGCAAATTTAGAAATTATCTTGATTGCCTTTGGTTTTAGAGACACCAGACTCAGGTTTCCTCATATGAACAATTGGGCCATTCAAATACCCCTAACAAGGTGTTTGAAATGGGTATTCCAAATGATTGAGATCAACCACAAACCACTAGCAAGTTGGCTATGAGGGAAAACTTTTAAAACAATGAGATTGCTGGTTGGAGGGTAAACACCACACAAACTTGGGGAACTTGCTCAGCAAGTTCGGCAGCTCAGCGGTTTAACCAGCTGCATCACATGGGGCCAGCCCTTATTTCCTGATAAATTATCACATTTTTCTTTCAGGGAAACGGATCTGTCTGGGTGAATCCTTAGCCCGCATGGAGCTTTTCCTCTTCTTCACCACCATCATGCAGAAATTCCAATTGAAGTCCCTTGTGCCTCCCGAAGATATTGACCTTGCTTATCAAAAAAGTGGCTTTGCCAACATCCCACCCTTTTACCAGCTCTCCGTCATCCCACGCTGATCCCGAGGTCCCTTTCTCCTTCAGCCTGGGACACTTGCAGAAGCTGCATTGACAGACTCCACAAGGAGAAGGAAGGGCACTCCCTCTGTTTTCTGGCTCATAAACAGGGCTTATTAAAGAAAAATAAATAGATGACTTCAAGATTTATCTCTCTTTTTATGACTTGTTGTCCTGAGATACTATTGATTTCCTATCGGGGTAAGAGGGATGCTTCTGACTCATTTTCTGGCCCTGCTTAACTGTCTGGATGTATCTCTCCTTATGAACCATCCAGGAACTTAAGATCTTCTGGAGAGGCCCTGCTCTCTGTCCCGCCTTCTTCACAGATACGGTTGGTGGGCACGAGAGATAGGGCCTTTTCAGTGGTGGCCCCTCGGCTATGGAACGCCCTCCCCAGAGATATTAGATCGTCTCCCACTCTCCTAACATTCTGAAAAAAAGTCAAAAACTGGCATCATGAGCAGGCTTTCTCAAATGCAATGTAGTAAATAATTACTTGACTTCGAAAAGGCTGGACAATTACAATCGGATAAAGATTCTGGAAATTAGATACGGAGGATTTAATTTTTTTATGTTTTATTGATTTTATTGTTTATGGAATTTTATGGATGTTTATATGTTTTTAACTGTTTATATTATTGTGGCATCGAATTGTGCCGGTTTTGTAAACCACCCTGAGTCACCATCGGGTTGAGAAGGGTGATATAGAAATATAGTAAATAAATAAATAAATAAATAAATAAATAAATTTTGACTATTTTTTGGAGAAGCATAAGAGGTTGATATCTCTTGAGTTAGGGGTGTTGCTGCAATGCACCCTGAGCCCTGCCACATGCACAATGCAGGACCTTCTTGTGGTAACACCAGAGGCACTCCAAGTGGCCAGATACTGGTCAAAGGACATTTAATCAACTACCAAGTTTGCAAAATTTGTGTTTTGTCTGTTTGTTTGTTTGTTTTGTTCTGTTAGAAATGTAATACAATTGACTGGTTGCCCTGACACGACAAATAAATAGTTAGAGGTGTGCAACTCAACTAAACCCCATACTGTTTTTGATGTCTGCAATCTGTCCTTCCTTCCATTCCTTCCCTTTCCCCCCCCCCCCCCCCCCCCCCCGATCTGGCAGATGAAAGATTTGTTTTTGCTCCAGGAAGATCCGGCCCATTGGCAGCAAAGCTGGGACTTCCCAGACTCACTTTTCTTCTTCTCATATCCTTCAACTAGCACTGGGTTTAAGGCATAACAGGAGGATGTTAGCAGCATTTGTATGGTGTAACAAGAAGCCAAGTGGAATTGAGCTGGTCTGCGATATCCAAATGTTTTGCAAGATAGTTATTTCCCCATGTAAATGCTGCTGTATCTCCAACACAACACAATCCAGCATACATTATGTGCACTGAGATCTAATAGAGGCTTTGACATATGTAATATACATCTGTATTTAAATAATTGCACTGTAGTTTAGGATTACACAGCAGCCTTAGATCTTCATTCCTATGAATAAAAAAAAAGTAAGCCTTTTATCTGCAGAAACAATGAACTGCGAATCCATATCTCCTATGGACCCAATAGCCACAGCTCTGATTAAACAGGGAGAGAGCTGAGCAAATTTGACTTCTATCTCACAGGCAGAGCAGTCAACATATTTGCTTCCACATCATTACATACTTCTTTCTTGTTATCTATGTTTCCTATTTTGTCATCCCATCAGCTATGAAGAAACTATCACACTAGGGGAGGTGCCTCATAATGTCCCTCTCCCCTGCCACTGACACATTTTCTTTTCATTCTATCCTCACACCTGGAAGATCATTGTTCTCACAGAAATTGGGTGCCCATCTGCCTTGAGAGTGGCATAGGATAGGCCTGGGAGAAATTTGTGATGGTGTAACAGCAATTGTAAGAAATTACTTTTGTTGCTGAAATTTATCTTTGGTTATTAACCTTGGAAGTCATATTAGCTCTTTCTATATCAGATTGACTACATCCTTTGCAGCCAAAGGTGATGGACATCCATCCAGTCGGTGAAAACAAGACCTGGGGCTGACTGTAGCTCAGATCACGAACTTCTTACTGCTCAATTTAGAATAAAACTAAAGAGATCAGGGAAAATACACAGACCAGTTAGATATGAGCTCACTAACATTCCTAGCGAATATACAGTGGAAGTGAAGAACAGATTTGAAGGACTAGATTTAGTAAACAGAGTCCCAGAAGAACTATGGACAGAAGTCCGCGACATTGTTCAGGAGGCGGCAACAAAGTACGGCCAAAAGAAAAAGAAAACCAAGAAGGCAAAATGGTTGTCTGCTGAGACACTGGAAGTAGCCCAAGAAAGGAGGAAAGCAAAAGGAAACAGGGATAAGGGGAGATATGCCCAGTTAAATGCGCAATTCCAGAGGTTAGCCAGAAGAGATAAGGAACTATTTCTAAATAAGCAATGCATGGAAGTGGAAGAAGACAACAGAATAGGAAGGACAAGAGACCTCTTCCAGAAAATTAGAAACATTGGAGGTAAATTTCAGGCAAAAATTGGTATGATAAGAAACAAAGATGGCAGGGACCTAACAGAAGCTGAAGAGATCAAGAGAAGGTGGCGAGACTATACAGAAGATCTGTATAGGAAGGATAATAATATCGAGGATAGTTTTGATGGTGTGGTGAATGAATTAGAACCAGACATCCTGAGGAGTGAGGTTGAATGGGCCTTAAGAAGCATTGCTAACAACAAGGCAGCAGGAGACGACGGGATCCCAGGTGAACTGTTTAAAATCTTAAAAGATGATGCTGTCAAGGTGATGCATGCCATATGCCAGCAAATATGGAAAACACAAGAATGGCCATCAGACTGGAAAAAATCAACTTATATCCCCATACCAAAAAAGGGAAATGTGAAAGACTGCTCAAACTTCCGTACAGTGGCCCTTATTTCTCATGCCAGTAAGGTAATGCTCAAGATCCTGCAAGGAAGACTCCAGCAATACATGGAGCAAGAGTTGCCAGATGTTCAAGCTGGGTTTAGAAAAGGCAGAGGAACGAGAGACCAGATTGCCAATATCCGCTGGATAATGGAGAAAGGCAGGGAGTTTCAGAAAAACATCTATTTCTGCTTCATTGACTATTATAAAGCCTTTGACTGTGTGGATCATACTAAATTGTGGCAAGTTCTTGGTGGGATGGGCATCCCAAGCCACCTTGTCTCTCTCCTGAGGAATCTGTACAAGGACCAAGTAGCAACAGTCAGAACTGACCACGGAACAACAGACTGGTTCAAGATTGGGAAAGGCGTATGGCAAGGCTGCATCCTCTCACCCAACCTTTTTAACTTGTATGCAGAACACATCATGCGATGTGCGGGGCTGGATGAATGCAAAGCTGGGGTGAAAATTGCTGGAAGAAACATTAACAACCTCAGATATGCAGATGACACCACTCTGATGGCCAAAAGCGAGGAGGAGCTGAGGAGCCTTCTAATCAAGGTGAAAGAAGAAAGCGCAAAAGCTGGGTTGCAGCTAAACATCAAAAAAACCAAGATTATGGCAACAAGAATGATTGACAACTGGGAAAATAGAGGGAGAAAATGTGGAGGCCGTGACAGACTTTGTATTTCTAGGCGCAAAGATTACTGCAGATGCTGACTGTGGCCAGGAAATCAGAAGACGCTTACTTCTTGGGAGGAGAGCAATGTCCAATCTCGATAAAATAGTAAAGAGTAGAGACATCACACTGGCAACAAAGATCCTGCCTAGTCAAAGCCATGGTATTCCCTGTAGTCACCTACGGATGTGAGAGCTGGACCTTAGGGAAGGCTGAGCGAAGGAAGATCGATGCTTTTGAGCTGTGGTGTTGAAGGAAAGTTCTGAGAGTGCCTTGGACTGCGAGAAGATCCAACCAGTCCATCCTCCAGGAAATAAAGCCCAACTGCTCATTGGAGGGAAGGATACTAGAGACAAAGTTGAAGTACTTTGTCCACATCATGAGGAGACAGGAAAGCCTAGAGAAGACAATGATGCTGGGGAAAGTGAAAGGCAAAAGGAAGAGAGGCCAACCCAGGGCAAGATGGATGGATGGCATCCTTGAAGTGACTGGACTGACCTTGAAGGAGTTGGGGGTGGTGAGGGTCAACAGGGAGCTCTGGTGTGGGCTGGTCCATGAGGTCACGAAGAGTCGGAGACGACTGAATGAATGAACAACAACAATATGGCAAAATGGTATATGATATAAGCAAGTAAGTAAATAAATGTTATACCACTTTTTAAAAAATGGCATTGATATTCCTTTTTCATTCTCCTGACCATCAGTAATTCACCTCACATGTTGTTACTTTACTATTTGGATTTTTGACCATCATTGACAACTGCTAACTTTCACTAATAAAAGGTCCTTGTCTATCATGAGTCCTATATTCATTGGTTGTCTGCATAGCAGAATTTAGAGGTCGCGGGTTGTGTTACATACCATGGATACAGGAGAATGCTACATAACAACATATTTAGAATGGGCACAACTGTCACAGTACTTGCAAACTAAGGAATAGCTGAATGAATTTGACTTATATCTCACAGGCAAAGCATTCATCATATTTTCTTCTCAATCATTACATCCTACCAAAGAAACACACAATTGATAAAATATGTGGAACTGAATGAGAGTGGATACATGACCACAAAACCTGCACCTTTGAGTTTGCTGATACAGTTACCTTTGTTTTTTTGTCACTTGCCTTTTCTCTCTTGTTATTCTGCCAGGTATAATGAAACTATCACACAAGGGGAGTCCTCCTTAGGGACCCAATCCCCTGCCTTTTGTTTGGGAATTTCCACAGATCAATTAATCAGAAACCATAAACTCTCTTCTCGAGGTGAATGACTGTCTTGCATAGCAGTCAGAAATAGCATAATATTAATAATTATATAATACAATAATCCCTGTTGCAATGTCGAAGGCTTTCATGGCCGGAATCACTGGGTTGTTGTAGGTTTTTTCGGGCTGTATGGCCATGGTCTAGAGGCATTCTCTCCTGACGTTTCGCCTGCATCTATGGCAAGCATCCTCAGAGGTAGTGAGGTCTGTTGGAACTAGGAAAAAAGGGTTTATATATCTGTGGAATGACCAGGGTGAGACAAAGGACTCTTGTCTGCTGGAGCTAGGTGTGAATGTTTCAACTGACCACCTTGATTAGCATACAATGGGCTGACTGTGCCTGGAGCAAACTTTTGTTGAGAGGTAATATGTCCCTGCCTGCTTCCTCTCTGTTGTGCTGTTGCAATTTTAGAATTTTTTAATACTGGTAGCCAGATTTTGTTCATTTTCATGGTTTCCTCCTTTCTGTTGACCTCACTATCTCTGAGGATGCTTGCCATAGATGCAGGCGAAACGTGAGGAGAGAATGCCTCTAGACCATGGCCATACAGCCTGAAAAAACCTACAACAACCCAATCCCTGCTGCCATTTTCCCTCCCAGGCATTCAAAGTATGTGAAAATATGACGTTTAAATCAATGCACATTTTATTTTGGAAAGCTGTACACTTTCTCAAACTGTAGCTCTCACCAAGTGCACAGGTTTTATTGTGCCAACAACAACAAAAGATTGAAGGAACCTTCTGAGTACTTTTTAAATTCCTGAAAATGTTAGCAAAGGGTCAGGAACCTCAATTTCAACCTTGAGTGGGAAACCTTTTAAATCCCACACAGTCAGACTTTGCCACAAATGTCTCCTTGTTTTTGTCAGAGGTTTATCATCCTATGAAAGGTATTCTCAACTAATAGAAAAAGAGCAAATTTTTAGAGGCCAAAAATCAGCGAACATTGCATCTGCTTTCAGTGAAATATATACATTGGACCCCCAGTATCCACCAGAGTTTAGTTCAAGAGCCTTCCCCATGGATACCAAAATTATAGATGTTCAAGTCCAATTATTTTTAATGATGGAGCAGAATGACAACCCAAATATAAGATGAGAAACAACAACAACAACAACAACAACAATGTATTTATTTATAACCTGGCCTCTCTCCCTGATGGGACTCAGGGCGGCTTCCAAAAACAACTCACATGAATGCCAGAGATAGTTTGAGAGTCTTTGAATTGTCAGAAGGCAAAACCAAGATTTACATTTTGGATTTTTTGTCCCCAAATAATTTTGATCCATGGTTGTTTGAATCTATGGATGCAAAACCTGTGGCTATGGAGGAACAGCTGGATATAGTTAATGGTGCCTTGGGTGTTTTAAAGCTAATAAAATTGGTAATTTGCGTAAGATATCTTAGAATGTCTGCTGCAGTACAAACATTAAAACACATATGCCTTCTGGACAAAATACCCACAACACTGATTTACCAAGAAAGAAACTGTTACAAAATCCTAGCGTTGGAAGAGACCACAAGAGATATTCATTTCATGTCCAATCCCTTGTCGTGAAGTAATAAACAACAATATTTTTCCTTGTTCCACAGGTTAATGGTATGCTTGCTTGGTTTCTGTCTGCTCTTACTGCTGACTTGTGCTCCAGGTCTGAGCAGTTATGAAACAGAAGGCGGTGCCCAACTAACCTCAATAAAACACCATAACGTTCCAGCTCGATAAGGCCGGTGTTCATACTGTGCCAAAAGAGAAGGACAGTTGACAACCTGCACCATGGAATGGGCTGGTACACTCATTCTCCTTCTTGTTGTCATCATTTCTTGCTATCTGCTCATAACATCTAGGAGAAAACAATTGCACAAGGGGAGACTTCCTCCGGGACCCGCTCCCCTGCCCCTGATTGGGAATTTCCTGCAAATCAAGCCAGCTGAAACCTTGAAATCTCTTCTCAAGGTATGGACTCTTTGGACTCTTTCAGACCTTTTATGAGGAAAAAAGATGTTTATGTTTAATGATCCGAAAGGATTTGTTGTGGAAAGAAATGTGCTTGGAAGAGTGGAAGCTATCTTTATCCTCTTTATTTTTTTCTTTACTTTCTTTGTCTTTCTTCTTTCTTTGTATCTTCTCTTGCATGGTTATAATCTGTAACAAATAAGAACTGAGAAAAATGTCTTTTCAATGTGAACTCGAAACTTTTCTAGATATTCTTGCATATATCTCTCTGAACAAAATGTTATCTTCCCTCCCCTCTGTCTCGTAGTGTGTTGTTTATGGTAGGACTCACATCTATGCTAAAGAACACCACACAGTGCAAATGCTATTTTTTGTCTGGATTAGTTTCTAGGATTTGTAGTGTGACACTCCATTGATTTATATGGCTCCACTCTGTGGAAACCTGGAATTTATAGTTTGGTGAGGGACTTAGWATTATTTGCCAGAGTTCTCTAGTGATCATGATTTAATTGACATGGTATAATGTTATGGGATCCTGGGGGCTTTAATTTTACAACATCTTTTGCCTCCTCTGCCAGTGACTGCCAGTGTCTCACTAAACTCCTATAAATTCATAGCATGATACTTTCCCACCTCGCCACAGCTGGGGAGAGAGAGACGTTTGCCTCTTCCCCCGAGTAGAGAACAATTAGGTCCTGTGGTACTACTTTGAATGGGGCGGAGCCAGGCCCACTGCACTGGCCTTCCCCCTTATTCATTCTGGAGYCGAGAATCRACCCACCACTCCTGCCCATCAAACAGTATATTAGGATTGCCGTTAAGGAGCCAGGAAGGAATTTTTTCCCCTCTTATGCTCTAGGAGGATTTTTTCACCAATCCTATACTTTTGCAGGGCAGTTAAAGTGGTGTCAAACTGGATGAATTCTACACTGTAGATGACCACACATTCAGGAGAGAATACTAGAGAACTCTTAGGCAAATTCTTGATCAAGTTTCATCTTTCTTCAACTTCTTGCATTCTATTTTCATTATATTTTGAATAGTTTAAGGTCAAGAATTATATTATGAATAAGTCTAGAGATCGGGCCATAAGAAATAGAATACAAATGTTTTACAGTATGTAAATCTAGAAGACTTGTCTCCAAAAGGATTAATATGTGAAAGAAAATCATCCTCATGATGGTGGTGGGAAATGTAACTGTTGTGTTTATGTATGTATGAGCGCATCTATACTGCAGAACTCATACATCACTTCAACTGGGATGGCTCAAGCATGTGGAACCAAATCTTCATCCCATTGGATCACTACTCTGATTAAGTGCTTGTTTAAAATTAAAAAAAACTTCCACATTAAGATTTAGCATACATTGAAGGGTGCTACCTGACCCCAAATGATGCAGTCATCTACCTCAACGGTTACTGTTAAAACATATTTGTCTACCAAAAAGATTTTGCTACATGTGAAAGGTTGATTTCCCCTACAGCTACGTGAAAAATATGGCCCAGTTTTTACCGTCTATTTTGGGACACGTCCAGTTCTGGTCTTATGTGGACACCAAGCTGTGAAGGAGGCCCTGATAGACAAGGCGGAAGAGTTCAGTGGAAGGACTACCATGCCTTCAATGGTGCCTACCTTCCAAGGATATGGTGAGGCATCACAGTTATGTTTACAATAATGGTTCCATCCATGTTTCTGCTTGCCATGTCATTTATCTCCTTTTGCCTTCAGGAGTGGGTTTTTCCAATGGAGCACGCTGGAAGGAACTGCGCCGGTTTTCCCTCACCGTCTTGAGGAGTTTTGGAATGGGGAAAAAGTCTAGTGAAGAGCGAATACAAGAGGAGGCCCAATTCCTGCTGGAGGAATTTCGGAAGACAAAGGGTAAGAAATAGGTATGGCTAGGTATCGTCGGAATCTTCATAATTTGGAATAAAGTCAGAAAAATTACCTTTTTGAAGTGATTTCGAAGTTTTTAAGAAAACCGGAAGTCCCTTTGCCCTTCTGAAGCTTTTTCCACCATGTTTGTTATGACTCATGAAGTGAGTTGGAGTTCTCTAGCTCAAGCCAGTGAAGCCAATTTTAAACCAGAGAAAGAAGGAATTTCCTGGCCTCGGCTCAAGCCAGAGAAGCCAGTTTTAAACCAGAGAAGGAAGAAATTTCCTCTGCTTGCTTTCCCCCGCTTCTGGAGTAAAACAACTACTTTCAAAGTAAAGACCACCCAATGAAACAGGAAATAACATTTTCAAACCATTAACAAAAGGGTTCGGAAGTCTTGGAAGTTTCAAAAAGTTTTGAACATTTTTTTCTGTGAAAATCAGAATTGAGTTTAGAATCGAACCACCAGAGCCCCCTACATCTGAAACAAATTTTGAAACCTTTTTTTGGATCAACCAAGCCTAGGCAAAGACAGACCGAACGAATACCGTTCAGTAATAGTACTGTAATCATCAAAGCAAGAGGGACCACAGCCAGGCCTTGTAGTCAAGGGAGGAGAGTTAGGGGTTGAAACCACTCTCAAAAATTTTCACTTTAAAAAAAACCAGGTTAACTCATGATTTTTAACTGGTTAACCACATCCCTATGCTAAGTCTATGAGAGGAAAAAAATTATAAGACCCTCCAGAACAGCAAGCACTATCTCAACCAAATTTTGACAATTTGTTCACACTGTCATTACCTACCTTTTGACTAATTTACACTGCAATAGCCGATACAGTGGAAACAAGCAAGTTGGCCCACCCAACTGGCAGGCAAAGCCTAAGTTTGCAACAAACTGAGAAGAAATGTATTCCCTAAAACCAACAAGACAACAGGTCCACTATTACCAAAGTAGAACAATACCAAGTATATATATAAGATATAACAAGCAAAAAATCTACAATAAACATTAGTATGTTGTGTTCACAATACTAAATGTCCATCTGTCAGCAGTGCTTTGATTGTGGGGCAGGATTGAATGGCCCTTGGAGGTCTCTTCCTACCCTAGGATTCATTATTACTAATACTATTATTATTGTTGTTGTTATTATTATTATTATCAAGCAGACTTTCTCATTTCCATACCACCAGACTGTGCCACAGCAGTGCATGACTAGGTACAGATAGATATATATATAGCTGTACCCGGCCACGCGCTGCTGTGGCACAGTCTGGTGGTATGGAAATGAGAAAGTCTGCTCATAGGTGATATTGTGGAATATATAGGTGATGTTGTGGGATAATGTGGTGGAACATGTTGGAATAATAGTATTACGCAATATAGGTGATATTTCCAAATGCTGTATTTCTTATTCTAATCAACATTTTAAGTTAAATTATAGATTTTATGAAGTAGTTTAATTTTTTACTAATTTAATTATCTGTGTCCACCAAAGTCTATTGATGGAGTCTGATTTCTGCAAAAGTGTGTTGACACAGTTTTCAAGTATTCCAACAGACAATGTAGTATTCTTTTGTAATTTGTAACCACTAAATTAGCAATTAAGATTCATATTCAGTTTTTTAAGATTTGAAACTTTGTAACTAAAATAAAAATTGATTTAATTAAGTCTATATAAAATATAGAATGAATAATACTATTTTAATTATTTTAGGCTATGATTGGATCAACCAAGCCTACTAAGAAAGCCTAGTTGAAAGAACGTTTCAACTCTCCCTCTCCAATTTCATTTCTAGTTATGGGCCTGACTACAGCTCCCATTGTATGTTAATTAGTGGACACAGTGTGCATTTGGTCCTGTTCTTGGCACCAGATAGACCTTGTGTGGACTGATTCTTCATTCATTCTCTTTGCTGTGCAGAAAATCCTTTCGATCCTACCTTTTTCTTCAGCCGTGCATTCTCCAACATCATTTGCTCTATTGCTTTTGGGAAGCGTTTTGACTATGAGGACAAAGAATTCCAGGCCCTAGTAGGGATGGTACATAGATTCTTCCAGGAGATCAGCACCTCCTGGGCCCAGGTACTCCTTTTGCAATAATACTCAGTTTAAATTATAACAAAACTATTTGTCTTCATTACTCCCCTGAGTTTTTCCTCTTCCTTTCTCACATACCTAGATGTTCATCTCACACAGGGCCATAGCCAGATTTTTTTTCTTTTTTTTTTGGGGGGGGGGGGTGGTAGTGGTTGAAATTTGTCTTAGAGAATCATGATGAATAGTAATTTAAATAGTATGGTTCATTCTATATTTTATATAGACTTTATTAAATCAATTTAATTTTTTGCTTCTAATAGACTTAGCATGGGAATTTGGTTAAACAATTTAAACTCATGAGTAAAGCAGGTTTTTTAAAAATCTGAAATTTGGGAGGGGGTTTGAACCTCTATTACTCCCCCCCCCCCCCCCCCCCCCCCAGCTACCGCTCTGACAATCCTCATGCTCTTGTGATCCCATCGCCTATCCAGGTGCTCTTCCTCTTCTTTCGCTTTCCTACACTTCACCCACAATATTTTTCTTTCTCACTGCTCCATTTCCTGTCCTTACGAAAGTACTCATTCAGCTTTTTTGTTGCTCATTTTTGTCCCCTGTTCATTTTGCCAAAGCCTTCCACAAAACCTCACAACCTCTGAGGATGCTTGCCACAGATGCAGGCGAAACGTCAGGGGAGAATGCTTCTAGAACATGGCCATACAGTCCGAAAAATCTACAAAACCCTTCCTAGCTCCCTTTGTGAAGATCTAATAATTGTTAGTGTGGGAAGCCAAGTCAATTTGTTTTTACTACCAAGATTTTGACCTTCTGAGAAAATAAAGGAGTCGGTCTTGATTCCAGCTTCCCTTTCCTGGTTAGGAACACTTCCCATCTATTGACTGATGATGATACTGTAGTCAGCGAAGAGATTTATATTAAATTTAAAATATAAAACATGTGGTTTCCTTTGCTTGTATGTGTCATATTTAGGTTTCTCAATTCTATGGTCTTGAAGTAGCATTTTCTTTGACTCACAGACACAGTGATAGAACATTTACTTCACTTCCTATCCTGGTTTCACTGTTCCCGGTATATCCATTGTCCCCAAGTCTCTCCAGTTTCTGCCAAAATGATAAAAGATTTGGAAACTGAGTCCTATGAGGATCTCATTAGGGAGTTGAGTATGTCTAGTTTGGAGAAATGAAGGCTGAGCAGGGATATGGTGAGCCAGGTTTAAATATTTAAAAGGAGGGCAAACTTGTTTTCTCATGCTATAGAGACCAGTACACAGAGCAGTCGCTTCAAAAGACAGGAGAAAGATTCAATTTAAACACTTCTTACAGTAAAAGCTGTTCAGCAATGGAATATGCCTCCTCAAAATGTTCTGGAGTCTTCTTCTGTTAAGTTGTGAAATAAAGATAAAAAACCTACAAGTCTGGGTGGTTCTTGGGGTCTCTTCCAACCCGATGATTCTCCGATTTTACATCATGCCCTTCCCCCTGTTATATCTGTTACGTTTTGATGCAAAAAATAAAGAAAACAATAAGTCATGGCTTCCAAGACTTTTTTCATATTTGCAGAACTTTAGCTTTTCTATCCCAGGTTCCCTGCTTTTGCTTTTCCATGTCTTGGGACCTCAGTCATACACGTGAGCCTCCCCCCTCCCCATCTTGTTCCATTTCACCCTTAATGACCATCACATGGCAGAACATGACAAGGTGCCCCAGTTCATGTCCCCATGAGACTAGGGAAAAGGTGACTAAGGAAAAGGCATTGATCTTTAACCCATTAGATAGGGAAAGGGAGAGAGAAACATGACTTACCTTGCTTTGTCGGTGAGGAATTGTTTGTTTGTTTATTTATTTATTTACTGCATTGCATACTGCCTTTCTCAGCCAGAGGTGACTCAAGGCGGTTCACAGTTGGCAGCAATTTGATGCCACAACAAATATCAGAGTACAGTTAAAAACAATTATAAAACCAATTCAACATTAAAAATGTAATATAAAAGAAACAGTAATATCAATAAAAACAAAATCTTCAGAGTCCCCTTACTGAAATAGTAGTCCAATTGCATTGTCGGTCATCATCTTGCAATCAGGGGCGGCTTAACCCATTACTCAAAGTAAGCATTTGCAGTATAGTTGATTTTTCCCAGGGGTGTTCTTGAGGTGCTCTTGGGGGAAAATAGACCTTGACACATGTGAGTTGTAGTTACTGGTATGTATAGTTCACCTGCAATCAAAGAGCATTCTGAACTCCACCAATGATGGAATTGAACCAAATATGGCACACAGAACTCCCACGACGAACAGAAAATACGTATCAGTGATTGGTTGGGGGGGGGGGGCAAAATACTGTTTGCTTACCATTGAAAATTACCTAGGGCCACCTCTGCTTGCAATACATCCTTGATTCAAGGATGTATTGCATTACATCGTGCAATACATCCTTAAATCATCTTGCAATACATCCCTCCCACTTCAGGGATCAGTGAGGAGGAACCAAGCCAGTGTCATGTAATGGTGCCCATCCACAAAGATTAGCAAGGGGCCAAAAGTCTCATATGCTAAGGTGACATATTTGCAAATAATATTTGAGGCCACAATAACTCAGCCACTAAACCTGGGAGGCTTACATATTTTTGAGGATGAGTAGGATATATTTGCTTCATCCTATTCAGAACAAAATTGAGGTCTTGGATGTCCCTTTGTTACTAGCACCAAAACTCCTGTTGATGCTTAGATGGAATACAACATCTATCGGTTCAGCATGGTTTCTCTCCTTGTGCAGTTCTATGACATCTATTCCAACTACCTGAATTACATTCCGGGAATCTACAGTAAGATCTATGATGCCATGGACATGAAGCTCTTAATTTCCAAGAAAATCAAGAAGAATCAAGAGACCTTTGACTCCAATTTCCCACGTGACTATATTGATTGCTTTCTCATCCAGATGGAAAAGGTACCTTGTTGGCGCATGAAGGTAGCAGGCATCTACATTAACTGTTAATGCAGTTAATCTTTCTCACTAGGGAAATGCGATAAGAAATCTTTAATCTATCCTACTTGCTTCCAATCAGAGTTGGAATTGTATCATGATGTCTTGTTCTTTCCTGCTTTCAGGAAAAAGACAATCCAGGCAGTGAATTTATTATGAAGAACTTGGAGATCAGCATTCTTAATCTGATCCTCGGAGGAATAGAAACAGGCAGTTTCACCTTGAGATATGGCTTCCTGCTTCTGATGAAATATCCTGAAGTGCAAGGTGTTGTTGTTGTTGCTGCTGCTCTTAATATTATTAACAGTTAGGCCAAAGTGGCAGGTCAAACTTTACAGATCTGATTAATATGCTCCCACTAAGAACCTTTAATATTTCCAGGGAAATTCTATGGTCAACATCTGGTCAAATTCTATGGTCAAATTTAACTTTAATTTCTCTTCCACATAATCGTTGGGGAATGGTCTGCCCCCTGTATCTATGGCTTCTGCATCTATAGATTTAGTTAACAATGACTTGAAAATATTTAGAAAAAAGCAAGCCTTGATTTGGCTGCATACCAAGTCTTACACAGATGTAAACGCGATTATATTCTCCCACCATTTCACGAGGAGCCCCCGGTGGCGCAGTGGGTCAAACCCGTGCCGGCAGGACTGAAAACCGACAGGTCGCAGGTTCGAATCCGGGGAGAGACGGATGCGCTCCCTCTATCAGCTCCAGCTCCTCATGCGGGGACATGAGAGAAGCCTCCCACAAGGATGATAAAAACATCAAATCATCCAGGCGTCCCCTGGGCAACGTCCTTGCAGACGGCCAATTCTCTCACACCAGAAGCGACTTGCAGTTTCTCAAGTCGCTCCTGACACGACCAACCATTTCACTGATTCTCAGGTTCTCTGCAGCTTTGTTTGGCTTTTTATATATGAGATGCCATTTTACACCACTGTCCATAGTAGGACCTCAGCATCCAAATGTCCTGGATGAAAACTTTGGTGAATACTGAGAGCCCATTGGACTTAAAAATGTTTGACAACTACAAAGAGACCTGCCAATAGTTGTTGGTTTCAGAAATAACTGGAAAGGAGAGAAATAATTGATGAGGTGCAAGGTATGAGGAAAACAAGTACATGATGCTCTCTCTACAAGAGGAAGCCAGAACCAGGCCATGCAGGTTATTGCTTGGAATGAGATGTTAGTTTCCTGCAATGAATAGTAAGGGACTTCATGTTCCCCTTTAGTCTCATTGGAAGTAGAATCTCAGTTCCCTTTGAAAGTCAGAAACCCAAGGAGTTAATTATCCTCATATCTTTAACAGAAAAAGTGCATGAGGAAATTGATCGAGTGATTGGCCCTAATCGTGTCCCAAACACTGGGGACCGGCGGCAAATGCCATACACAGATGCCATGATCCACGAAGTGCAAAGATACAGTGATGTAATTCCTATGAATGTGGCCCACATGGTCACTCGTGACACTGAATTCAGAGGATATCATATCCCTAAGGTACAGTAACGGGGCAACAAGGGTACGAGTAATTGAAGGTATTAATGGGACATTTCACTATGATTCAATCCCACCTATAGGAATAGCTCACCATTTCAACTACTATACTGCAGATGAGTCATGATGGTATAAGTCCAGTCTTTGAACCCATCATACACTGTTTAAAATATTGGAAACAGAATATATATATATAACAGAATATAGTGGATATTCTGTTAAAATGGTGGAATTGCATTTTTACTAATCTGAGCTCCCAATTCTTTCCTTTCCCAGGGGATGATGGTCTTGCCATTGCTGAGCACTGTCTTGCATGACCCTACAATGTTTAAATACCCCAATGCTTTCAACCCAGAGAACTTCTTGGATGAGTATGGATGCTTCAAGACGAATGATGCCTTTGTGCCTTTTTCCTCAGGTAGAGCTCTACTAAAAACTCCAATATTCAGTTTTGTTAGTTAATTTACTTGATATCCCATGCTTGCTTTTGGCGCTTGCTACTGTGATCTCCTTATTTTCCCACAGTAAACATGTACAATAATGTAGGGGTTAAGAGCTTTGTCATGTACTCTCTGGATTACATTTCACGAGGATATGGAGAGGATGAGGATTAGATAAGGAGAGATTACTGGTTGAGAACTATTTTGTATTTGGACTCTCCTAGGCCACGCCAGCCCAATCGTTTGACTACACAACACACCCACCCCTCATTTTTGAACCGTAGTTGGCTGTTGTAAATTAATGTGCATATTTGTTTAGATTTTATGTTATTATATATTTTTGACTACATGTAGTTTAATTTATTGATGATAGGTTTAATTTATTGATGTTAGGCTTTAATTTATTATTATTATTATTATTATTATTATTATTATTATTATTATTATTATTTCCGTCACTTTTACCCCGCCCTTCTCACCCCCAAGGGGGGACTCAGGGCGGCTTACAGAGAGAGGCACAATTCGATGCCTTGTCACATATACATACATATATAAAAGCAATTAAGCAATTACAAATTAAAAATTAAATCATCAATACACAACAACACCATAAACACAGTAGTAGGCTAATCCTGAGCTCAGCGTTCGGAGTTCCGTAAATCCATTCCGTCTTGTCCAGTTCCAGCTCGTCATCAAGTCTTTCTTTAACTGCCAGAATGTCCAAATGCCTGGTCCCACATCCAGGTCTTCAACCTCTTCCTAAATGAAAGAAGGGACGTTGCCGATCTAATCTCCCCGGGGAGTGAGTTCCACAGGCGGGGGGCCACCACCGAGAAGGCCCTGCTCCTCGTCCCCGCCAATCTCACTTGTGATAGAGGCGGGGTCGAGAGCAGGGCCTCCCCAGAAGATCTTAGGTTCCGAGGTGGGATGTAGAGGGAGATCCGTTAGGATAGATACACTGGGCCGGAACCGTATAGGGTTTTGTAGGTCAAAACCAGCACTTTGAATTGTGCTCGGAATTGGATCGGCAGCCAGTGGAGCTGACACAACAGGGGGGTGGTGTGTTCCCTGTATGTCGCTCCAGTGAGCAATCTGGCTGCCTCTCGCTGGATCAGTTGGAGTTTCCGAGCAGTCTTCAAAGGCAACCCCACGTAGAGTGCGTTGCAGTAATCCAATCGGGATGTAACAAGAGCGTGGACCACCGTGGCCAAGTCCGACTTCCCAAGGCACGGGCGCAGCTGTCACACAAGTTTTTGTTGTGCAAAAGCTCTCCCGGCCACCGCTGAGACCTGGGGTTACAGGCTCAGCGATGAGTCCAGGATCACTCCCAAGCTGCGAACCTGCGTCTTCAGGGGGAGTGTAACCCCGTCTAACACAGGCTGTAACCCTATGCCCTGTTTGGCCTTACGACTGACCAGTAGGACCTCTGTCTTGTCTGGATTCAATTTCAATTTGTTAGCTCTCATCCAGTCCGACACAGCAGCCAAGCACCGGTTCAAGGTCTAGGCAGCCTCCTTGGTGACAGGTGGGAAGGAGTGACAGATTTGGACATCATCTGCATAGAGATAACATCTTAGTCCGAAACTCTGAATGATCTCCCCCAGCGGCTTCATGTAGATGTTAAATAACATCGGGGACAGAATTGAACCCTGTGGGACTCCACACAACAACGGTTGTGGGGCCGAACAGGTGTCACCCAGTAACACCTTCTGGGATCGTCCCTCAAGGAAGGATCGGAGCCACCGCAGAGCAGTGCCTCCGAGCCCCATGTCCATGAGGCGCCCCAGAAGGATACCGTGATCGACGGTATCGAAGGCCGCTGAGAGGTCCAGCAGAACTAACAGGGACACACTCCCCCTGTCTAGCTCCCTGCGAAGATCATCTACCAAGGCGACCAAGGCTGTCTCAGTTCCATGTCCCAGCCTAAAGCCAGACTGTGTCGGATCTAGATAATCAGTGTCTACCAGAAACCCCTGGTGTGTTGCCACCACGTTCCATGACTTTGCCCAAATAGGGGAGATTGGAAACTGGCCGATAGTTGTCGAATTGAGTGGGATCCAGTGATGGTTTCTTCAACAGCGGTTTTATAACAGCTTGTTTTAAGCTCGCTGGAAATTTTCCTTCCTGTAAGGAGGCATTAACCATCACCTTCACCCACTCTGCCAAACCCCCTCTGGCTTCTTTTATCAGCCAGGATGGGCAGGGGTCTAGGATGCATGTGGTGGGTCGCACCTCTCCAAGGATCCTGTCCACATCCTCAAGCTGAGCCAATTGAAACGAATCCAACAAAGCTGGACAAGCAGATGTTCTCGTTACATCCCCAGAGACTGCCGTTAACATGACGTCAAAGCCTGACCGAATCCGCTCAATTTTATCCGTGAAGAATCGAGCAAATGCTTCACAGCGGTCCACCGAGTTATCCGAGGTCTCGCATTTTGGCGGATTTAACAGGCCCCTGACAACTCGGAAGAGCTCAGCCGGACGATTCTTCGCGGATGCAATATTGGCTGTGATAGATGTTTTTTGGGCTGCCGCTATTGCCACACCGTAGGACCTTAAAAAGGCATTCAGGTGTGTTTGGGCTGGATTGGTGGGGTTCTGGCGCCACACTCACTCTAGCCTCCTCTTCTTTCGCTTCATCGCTGCCAACTCCTCAGTAAACCAAGAGGCTGGTTTAGCTCGGTTACTCGAGAGGGGACGTTCCGGAGCGATTGTGTCAATTGCCCTGGTCAACTCACTGTTCCAGCGAGAAACCAGAGCATCGACAGAGTCACCTGCCAAGGAGGTGGAAAAATCCTCAAGAGCTGTCAGAAAACCATTTGGATCCATAAGTCTCCTGGGGCGGACCATTCTAATGGGTCCACCACCCCTGCGGAGGTTAGAAGGCACAGTTAGTCTAAATCTGATCAGGTGGTGATCGGTCCATGGCAATGGAGCGATGGACAGCTCCTCCAATCCGTCACCCTCATCCCATCCCTGCGCAAAAACCAAATCCAAAGTGTGCCCGGCACTATGGGTGGGACCAGATATTAGTTGGGACAGGCCCATGGTTGCCATGGCGGCCATGAAGTCCTGAGCCGCACCCGAGAGAGTGGCCTCGGCATGGACATTGAAATCTCCCAGGACCAAAAGCCGTTGGGAGCTCAAGGCCATGTCCGAGACCACTCCCGCTAGCTCAGGTAGGGAGATTGTAGTGCAGCGGGGTGGTCGGTACACTAGCAGAATCCCTATCCTGTCCCGGTCACCTATCCTAAAGCCGGCACATTCAAACGAAGATGTTTGTGGGATGGGACGCCTGATCAGAGGGATAAACTCCTTATAGACCACTGCGACTCCTCCTCCCCGCCCTCCAAGCCTTGGTTGGTGCTGAACAGAGTAGCCTGGTGGACAGAGTTGGGAAAGATTAACCCCTCCCCCTTCGTCCAACCAGGTCTCTGTTATACAAGCCAAGTCAGCATGTTCTTCTTGAATTAGGTCTTTAATAATAGCAGTTTTTCCATTTACCGACCTGGCATTGAGCAGCACCACCTTTAACCTGGAGGGACCACCATCCTGGCACCTCAGTTGTATCTTATCAGGAGGATGTTTTGAAGCTGCCAATCTGTCTTTACTAATTTCGGGCCGAATTGTGGTCTCAATTTTTGGGATTGCCAATGTTCTGTTATAAATTTTTGGCCGGATTTGATTTTTCCTTGGGTTGTTAGCATCTTTGGAGGTTGCCAATCTATTATTATGAATTTTGGGCCGGAATAAATAATTTGCTCTCCCTTTCCCGTATCTCCCTCTACCCGTCACCACCCCTATGGCGGCGCCCCCACCCATGGACCCACTCCCCCCGGGGACGTACCCTCCATTTCCATCTATTGTTGTTCCATATGTTAGGTGTTTGATGATAAGTGTAGTCACATATAATTGGGTCTTGATGTTCCCACCCCTTGAAATTACCTGCTCCTTCCAGTGTATTAAAGAAGGTAAAGTGCACTAGTAACAATAGCAGCAGGGTTGGTGACAATGGTAGCATAGGAGTGGGGTATTGGTAACCACAATATCTAATTGTCAACCTGCTACAAATGAGGCTAAGTGCTAGTGCAGGCCTCGAACAGTTGTTTAAAGTGCTGCTGTAACAATTCTTTAAAGTGCTACTATAACAGGTTGTTTAAAGTGCTACTATAACTACAGTTTAATCACCATGGGACGCTTTGGGACCAGTTACTAGCATGGGCCCTGGCAGAGTAGGAGGTAGATCTACTGAAGTGCTCTAGGCTAAAGTGACATAGTGCTAACCAAGTTCATATTAGTGTCTTCTTATATGACACCACATCCCAATCAAAGGGGGTCAATTTAAACACAGGAGTCCGGCTTCCTGGACTCCTGTTAGGTTTTAATGTTATTGATGTTTGATGTTAGGTTTTAATGTTATTTTCATATGCGGGGTTTCTCTGAGATTTTATGTTATTATTTGTTTTATGAAGGCATTGAATGTTTGCCGTTATGTTGGAATCAGACCCGAGTCTCCTCGGGGAGATAGGGCAGAATACAAATAAAGTTTATTATTATTATTATTATTATTATTATTACTATTATTATTATATTTCATAATTGTATAGCCCTTGTTGCCCATTTAATCCTCTTCCATGGGCAAGTATTATTCATGGATTGCACAGTTTGGGGAGATTTTCTTGCAGTGGGAAGAAAATTGCTAAAATTTCTCATTGCTCCCTTCAAACCCAAAGGAGCGAAAAATTGCATCTCTAGGGATCCAAATCTGTATCAACATTAGCAAATTTACAAATTATTTTGATTGCTTTTGAATTTAGGGACACCAGACTCAGGTTTCCCCATATGAACAATTGGGCCATCCAAATACCCATAACAAGGTGGCTGAAATTGTTATTCCAAATGATTGAGATCAACCACAAACCACGAGCAAATTGAATATGAGGGAAATCTTTTAAGACAATGAGATTGCTGGTTGGAGGGAAAACACCACACAAACTTGGGGAACTTGCTCAGCAAGTTCAGCAGCTCAGCGGTTTACCCGCTGCATCATCAGGGTGCCAGCCTTTACTTCCTGATAAATTATCTTATTTTTCTTTCAGGGAAACGGATCTGTCTGGGTGAATCCTTAGCCCGCATGGAGCTTTTCCTCTTCTTCACCACCATCCTGCAGAATTTCCAATTGAAGTCACTTGTTCCCCCTGAAGATATTGACCTCACTTTTCAAGAAAGTGGCTTTGCCAACATCCCACCCTTTTACCAGCTTTTCGCCATCCCACGCTGACCCTGAGGTCACTTTCTCCTTCAGTCCGGGACACTTGCAGAAGCTGTATTAATAGACTCCACAAGGAGAAGGAAGGGCACTTCCTCTGTTTTCACACTCATAAACAGAGCTGATTAAAGAAAAATAAATAGATTACTTTTTATGACTTGTTTTCTTGAGATATTATTGATTTCCTGTCTGGGTAAGAGAGATGCTTTTAACTCATTTTGACTATTTCTTAGAGAAGCATGAGGGGGTGATACCTCTTGAGTTAGGGGTGTGCAACCCGGCTAAACCCCATGCTGTTTTTGGTGTCTGGATTTTGTTGCCCCCCCCCCCCCCGCCCCCATCCCAAGTTCCATTTTTCGGGAGCTTCCTGAATCCTGGCATGCAAAATTCCGTTTTTTTGAACTGGAAGACAAAAGATTTGTTTTTGCTCCATGAAGATCCAGCCCAACATCCTCCTGTCATTTTTTTCTCCTCATATCCTTCAGCTAGAACTGGGTTTAAGGCCTGACAGGAGGATGTTAGTACCATTTGTATGGTGTAACAAGAAGCCAAGTGGAGTTGAGTTGGTCTGCAATATCCAGATTTTCCCTATGTAAATGCTCCTATATCTCCAACACAACACAATCCAGCATATCTGCAGTGAGATCTAATAGAGGCACTGACATAGTATCTATATATATAAATCTGTTAGGTTGGTTCAACCGGACAGCAAAACTCCACAACCCCCCAACGAAACTGCACCAAAATTGCCATGCCCCAAGGACAACCCACTCGGTACAAACTAATCCACTCAGAATTGAAAACAACACAACAACACACAGATAAATCGCCAAAACAACTGAGCATGCGCACTGGAGCAAAGTCCCCAGCGCGCGCGCACACATGGCCGAACGGCCAACGCACCCTCCGCACTTCCCTCCCTCCCTCGCCCCGCCCAGCACGAACACGTCGCTGCCCACACGCACACACAAACAACGCAGCTTCCCCCGGCCCCCTTCCCTCCACCCCCTCCTTCATCTCCTCCACGCTGCCTCCAAGCCCCGCTCTGCACACTCCAAGCCTCGCCGCGCCGCATCCCCTCCGGAAAGACACGCCCCCTCCCTTCGCCCCACCCCTTCCCTCCCTGACTCACTCCTTCCCTCCTCCCTCCCCCTCCGGAAAGACATGCCCCCTCCCTTCGCCCCACCCCTTCCCTCCATGACTTACTCCTTCCCTCCTCCCACCACCTCTGGAAAGACACGCCCGAAAGGAGTAAGTCACGGAGGGAAGGGGTGGGGCGAAGGGAGGGGGCGTGTCTTTCCGGAGGAGGGAGGAGGGAAGGAGTGAGTCAGGGAGGGAAGGGGTGGGGGCGAAGGGAGGGGCGACTTTGAAGACACGCCCCCTCCCCTTTGCCCCACCCCTTTCCCTCCGTGACTTACTCCTTTCCGGCGTGTCGGCAGAGGGGGAGGAGGGAAGGAGTGAGTCATGGAGGAAAGGGGTGGGGCAAAGGGAGGGGGCGTGTCTTCAAAGTTGCCCCCTCCCTTCGCCCCCACCCCTTCCTGCGAGACACTCCTTCCCTCCTCCCTTCCCCCTCCGGAAAGACACGCCGCCGTTGTTTGCCCACCTCTTCCCTCCCTGATTCACTCCTGGAAGGGGAAGGGGTGGGGGGAAGGGAGGGGCTGTGTCTAACCGGATAGGGAGGGGGAGGAAGAGTGAGGCCGGCGGAGGCTGTTCCCAGAGGGTGGGGTGAGGGGAGGGGGCGTGTCTTCAAAGTTGCCCCCTCCCTTTGCCCCACCCCTTCCCGCCCTGACTCACTCCTTCCCTCCTCCCTTCCCCTCCGGAAAGACACGCCCCCTCCCTTCGCCCCACCCCTTCCCTCCGTGACCTTGAGCATGGGAGTTGTAGTTCACCTACATCCAGAGAGCACTGTGGACTCAAACAATGATGGATCTGGACCAAACTTGACACAAAAATTCCATATGCCTAAATATGTATGCAGATGGAGTTTGGAGGAAATAGACCTTGACATTTGGGATTTGTAGTTACTGGGATTTATAGTTTACTACAATTAAAGAGACAGAAATGGGGCAAATTTCCAACACAGAACCCCCATGACCAACAGAAAATACTCAAGTTTACACACAAGCATAAAGAAGGGTGAGGAAGGAGGGATGCCAGAGAGAGAAAGAGAGAGAGAGAGAGAAGGGAAAGGAAGGAGTGTGAGAGAGAGAAAGAGGGAAAGAGAACGAGGGAAGGAAGGGAGGCCAGGCAGAGACTTCAAAACTCTTACTAAAGGCCACAGCAACGCGTGGCAGGGCACAGCTAGTACTTCTATATTTAAGGAATTGCATTGTAGTTTAGGATTACATAGCAACCTTGGATCTTCAATCTTATGAATAAAAAAAAAGTCTTTTATTTGCAGAAACAATGAACTGCGAATCCATATCTCCTATGGACCCAATAGCCACAGCTCTGATTAGACAGGGAGAGAGCTGAGCAAATTTGACTTCTATCTCACAGGCAGAGCAATCAACATTTTTGCTTCTGCATCATTACATTCATCTTTCTTGTTACTTATCTTTCCTATCTTATCATCCTATCAACTATGATAATCAACTACCAAGTTTGCAAATTTTGTGTTTTGTCTGTTTGTTTGTTTTGTTCTATTAGGAAAGTAATACAATAATCTGGTTGCCCCTGACACGATAAATAAATCAGCTATGAAGAAACTATCACAGTAGGGGAGGCTCTTGCTGTGTCCCACTCCCCTGCCACTGACGCATTTTCTTTTCAATCTATTCTCACACTTGGAAGATCATTGTTCTCAAAGGAATTGGGTGCTCATGTGCTCTGAGAGTGGCATAGGATATATTCCTTAGCCCTCGTCCTCAAATGACCAGCACTACTACATTACAAATTGCCATTTCTTTTAGGGACGATTCCACTATTATATAAGGTACCACCCCCATGCCTGGGAGAAATTTGTTATGGGTGTGACGGCTATTGTTGCTGAAGTTTATTTTTTGTTATTAACCTTGGAAGCCATATTCGCTCTTTCTATAGGGCCGAATAGTGTATGAAATAAGCAAGTAAGTAAATAAATGTTATACAACTTTGTTTTTTTTAAATGGCATTGATACTCCTTTTTCATTCTCCCAACCATCAGTAATTCACCTTACATGTTGTTACTTTGCTAGTTGGATTTTTGACCATAATTGACAACTGATAACTTTCACTAATAACTGATCCTTGTCTTTTATGAGTCCTGTGTTCATTGGTTATCTGCATAGCAGGATTTAGAGGTCACGGGGGGGGGGGGGGGGGGGGGGGGGGGGTGGCAGAACAATCAAGTTGGGTTACATACCTTGGATACAGCAGAATGTTGCATAACAACATATTTGACTGATAATATCCTTGAAGTATCAACAATTTAGAATGGGAATTGAATACTTTCCCCATGTGAATGCTATTGTGTCTCAACGCAATGCAGTGCAGCACATCTATACTAAGATCCAATAAAGGCTCTGACAGAGTATAAATCTGGATTAGCAGAGTAGTAATGTAATCTAGGGTTACATTGTGGTGGGTCTTCATTTCTAAGTTCCATGAAAGCAAATCCTTTTATTTTCAGAAACAACAAACTGCAAATCTATATCTTTTCCTCTGGACCTAATTGTCACAGTACTTGCTAGCCAAGGAATAGCTGAGTGAATTTGACTTACACCTCACAGGAAAAGTATTCATCATATTTTCTTCTAAAGCATTGTTGTTGTTCATTTGTTCAGTCGTCTCCGACTCTTCATGACTTCGTGGAGCAGCCCGCGCCAGAGCTCCCTGTCGGCCGTCACCACCCCCAGCTCCTTCAAGGTCAGTCCAGTCACTTAAAAGATGCCATCCATCCATCTTGCCCTAGGTCGACCCCTCTTCCTTTTACCTTCCACTTTCCCAAGCATCATTGTCTTCTCTAAAGCATTACATCCTACCAAAAAAACCCACAATTGATAAAATATGTGGAACTGAATGAGAGTGGATACATGACTACAAAATCTGCACCTTGGAGTTTGCTGGTTCAGTTACCTTCTTTTTTGTCATCTGCCTTTTCTCTCTTGTTATTCTGCCAGCTATAATGAAACTATCATACAAGAGGAGTCCTCCTTATGGACCCAATCCCCTGCCTTTGTTTGGGATTTTCCACAGATCAAGTAATCAGAAATCATAAACTCTCTCCTCGAAACAGTCTGGACATTTCATAAATAGCATTATATCTTAGGAGATCATCAAGATTCACTGAGGCAATGGACTGTCTTCTTATTCTCCCTTCATCTCCATTCCTTCTCTTGCACAGACCTTTGTGCATTTATCAGTTATCTTGGAATGACCCCAATTTAGCAATAGATATTTTGGACGCATTACTCCAACTCAAAAATATTTCCCTTGTTGTTTAGACTTCAAACATGTATTATTATTGACAATTTAGATGGGTTTAATAATACAGTACTTCCCTCCAGCAAAGGATCGATGCCTTGTCGCGGCGCTGGAGCTTGAGCACTTCAATGATGCCAAGAGTGAAACCGTGAAGGGACACCCTAGGCAGGATGGTCATGGCAGAAATGTCAGACCAAATGCAATCCCTGGGGAAGGTAATGGCAACACACCCATAAAGAAGCACCACAAGGAAGGCTGAGCGAAGAAAGATAGATGCTTTTGAACTGAGAGTGGACCGTGAGAAGATCCAACCGAACTGCTCATTAGAGGGAAGAATATTAGAGGCAAAGATGAAGTACTTAGCCACATAATGAGAATTCAGGAAAGCTTGGAGAAGGCAATGATGCTGGGAGAAATGGAAGGAAAAAGGAAGAGGGGCTGACCAAGGGCAAGATGGATGAATGGCATCCTTGAAGAGACTGGCTTGATTCTGAAGGAGCTGGGGGTGGTGACAGCCAACAGGGAGCTCTGGCGTGGGCTGGTCCATGAGGTCATGAAGAGTCGGAAGCAACTAAACGAATAAACAACAACAATTATACTTCCATACATTCTACCAGGTTTTCTAGAACCAAGATTACATCATATGC